TGCCGGGGCTGTCATCAGCCCGCGGCTCTCCCTCCGCCGAGCCCTCGCTGCGCGTCGCGGGCCGGCGGTGCCACGCGGGAGCCCGAGCGCTGTTGCGGGGCTGCCGGAGCCGGCAGGCAGGGCTGGCAGGGCTGGGCAGMGAGCCGGGCCCCACGGCCCCGCTGCCCCGCACACAGAGAGCCTTTGTTCGCGCTCAGCCGGCCGGCGTGACCCCGCCACGTGAGCGCACCGGCCGCTCCCCCGCCGCTGACTGCAGCCGGCGGGYTTGGCCGCTGCTCGGCGCCCGCTTTATTAGCGCCGGCTCCCGGGAGCGGGGGGTCTCAGCCAGCGCTGGATGGCAGCGCGAGCGTCCCGCTGCGCCCTCAGCACCCGCAGCCCTCTGGCTCCGGCGTGGCGCGGCCGAGCGGGGCGAGCTGCGGGCGCCGGCCGCGGGGAGGGGGCTCTGCCTTGGCACGGTACCATGGGCCGTTAGGGATTCACGCATGGCTGGCACGGACGGTGGGTGCTCGCGGGGCGGGTAGCACGAGCAGTGGGAAGAGCATCCCCGGGGTGCCGGTGCCGCGCAGCCCTTTGGACACCGGGCTGGCAGCGGGGCTGGCTCGGGCTGGCTCGGGCTGTCGGTGCATCGCTGCCGGGCGCTGTCGGGGGAATGTAGAGGCTGTCCTGCAGTGCCGGGGCTGCCGCGAGCCATGGAGCCATCCCTCCAGAGGCAACACTTCTGTTGCAGCATAGTGGCTCTGGGGCATGGGTGGCGCTCGGGGCTGGGGTCAGGCTGGAACCCTTGCAGCCGAGTGTTGGGGTGCTGCTTCCAGCAGGGTGCCATGGACCCTGTAAGCTGCTGTTGGAGTGATGTTCTTATAGATCTKTAGAGCTGGGGTGCCAGGCTGTTGAGTGCTGGGGGGTTGCTCCACTGGGGTCTGATGGACCCAGGAGTTTGGGTGGTGTGCTGTTCCTGTAGACCCCCTGAGCTGGATGTCGGGATGCTGCTGCATTGTGTCAGGAGCTCCTGGATGGTGGGAGTGGGGGGTGGGGGGCAGTCAGCCGGCCACCCCTCCACCCCGCTACCCTGCAAGCTGAYGGGGGATTCACAGGGGCAGGGAGAAGGTGCTGGTGGGGTGCTTATTKCCCGTGCTGCCTCTCTTCAGGCACCAAGTCCTTCAACATGATGTCCCCCACCGGCGATAACTCGGAGCTGCTGGCCGAGATCAAGGCTGGGAAGAGTCTCAAGCCGACGCCACAGAGCAAAGGCTTCACCACCGTCTTCTCCGGCAGCGGCCAGGCAGGGGCCAACGTAGGTGGTGATGGGGGCAAGGGGAGCCGGTGGCGCGGTGCAGCAAAGCACAGCAGGTGCCCACCGCCCTCCCTCCCTCCCTCCTTCCCTCCTTCCGCAGGCAGAGTCGCCAGTGTCCTCCCCATCACCCACCAGGACGCCCACCCCACCGGCCACCCCCGAGGCTGCTGGGCCACCACGCTGCCTGGCAGGCGGCTCACCAGAGCCRGTGCTGAACGGGAGCTCCCCGGTGCCGGCAGCAGGCGCTGGGGCAGCGGTGGAGGTGGAGGCGCTGGTGCCGAGCCAGGACGAGCAGGGCCGGCCCATCCCCGAGTGGAAGCGGCAGGTGATGGTGCGCAAGCTGCAGCTCCGCATGCAGGAGGAAGAGGAGCAGCGGCGCAAGGTAGGGGGGTCCCACGTGCTGCGGCGGCGAGCACGGCGCGGGCATGGCCCAAGCAGCTCAGGACCTGGCGAGATAGCGTGCGTGGCATCGCCTCCGGCTCCCATTCGGGCTGGGGGACCACCCTACCTGCATGCAGGGGCTTCACACCCCGGGGATGCCACACACACGGCGGCAGTGGCACGAGGTGCATGCGGCATGGCCTCAAGAGCCCCTTCGCCCTCTCTCCCGCCGCAGCCTGGGAGCCGCTCGCCACCCCTGTGCCTGCGCGGGCCACCACCTGCCCGCGGGGGCATGCCGAGACCCACCGGGCAGCCGATGCGGGAGGAGGACATGCAGCAGCTGGAGAGGCAGCTAGGGAGCCTGCGGGTGATGCACGAGGCGCAGCCGCTTGCATGGGGGCTGGAGGCGGAGCTGCCGCTACTCCTGCCGCTCTCCGCACCCCCGGCACGCCGGCGTTTCGCCCTCGCCCACGAGGACGCGCCTGCCCGCGGCAGCCGGTCCCCCGCACTGGCGAGGAGCGCGGCCGCACCGCCAGCCACCCCGAGGGGCCGGGAGGGCTCTGGGGCAGGGAGAGCAGTGGCCGCACTGCCGAGGAGCGCGGCTGCATCACCAGCCACCCTAAAAGGCCGGGAGGGCTCTGGGGCTGGGGGAGCAGTGGCCGCACTGCCCAGGAGCGCGGCTGCATCACCAGCCACCCCGAGGGGTCGGGAGAGCTCTGGGACAGGGGGAGCAGTGGCCGCACTGCCCAGGAGCGCGGCCGCACCGCCAGCCACCCTAAAGGGCCGGGAGGGCTCTGGGGCAGGGGGAGCAGTGGCCAGCCCCGCTGCCCAGCACGACGCCCGGCGCGAAATCCTGGGCTGCGGTGTCTCCGTCCGCAGCCTAAAGGCCAACTACGAGGGGCCAGGGGGGCCCCCTACACCTCCCCCCAGAGTCACCAAACGCAAGCGGGTGCAGCCCCCTGGCAGCACCCGCCGGCCCATCTTGGAGGAGGAGTACGGGGATGGGGCAMTGCGGCGGAGCAGGCCAGCGCTGCCAGAGCCGAGCAGCCCACACGAACGCACCAAGGGGTGCAAGGAGCGTACTGTCTTCCTCTTCCTGGAGCATTGGAAGAAGCGGGCACTCGCGACGGTGCCTGGGGAAGAGCGGCCGCGGCGGCCGGGGAGGAGGCGGCCGGCAGCGGGGCGGCTGCTGGCCCGCTGGAGRAGTGTCGCCCGCCGGGTCCCAGGGCGTCAAATCCGGCGGCTGAGCCGCACCACGGTGCTGTTCTGGCCCCAACACTTCCTGCCCTACGTCAACGGCTCGCCCATGCCCCACGACAGCCTCCCGCTCGACCTCTTCATGCTGGGCTACTTCCAGCTGCTGGAGATGCCCCTCAGCCCCGAGGAGCGGCGCTTCCGCCACCTCCTCTGCTACGAGATATTTGATCGCCTGGGGAGCCACAGCTGGCACCGTGTCCGCCAATTCCACCGCACCGTGCTGGAGCAAGTCGAGGCTGGCCACCGCCACTGGCTAGATGGCTTTGAGGACCTCGTGCAGGAGTTTTTTGGCGATGACCCTGTGGCAGTGGCAGAGAGCCTGACAGAACCACCCCGCACCATGGTCCTGGAAGGGCAGGGGGCAGCAGTGCCATTGCCAGTGTCGGAGCTGGGGGAATTCAGCGAGGAGGACGTCTGCCGCTTCATTGACCGCAGCTTCTCCTTCTGGAAGGAGAAGGAGGCAGAGATGTTCGACACCTGAGTCCGGCGGGATGCTGCAGGCTGTGCCAGTGGCGTGGGGCATGGGGCGGGGGCAAGCTCCGGGGACAGCTGTGGGCTGGTGCCCGGCTGTGCTTGCCCACCTCTGTGGCTCGTGGTGCGGCTCAGCTTGGCAGAGGGCTGGGTGTTGTTCTGCGCGGCCCCGGGCCGAGGTTGCAGTGTGCCGCTTGCCGTGGCTGTGTGTTGTGTGGGAGGCGCAGCAGCGCGGTTGCGCTCCCGTCTCGTGTGGCGTTTGYGGTGCCGGGGCAGCGTGGGCCCCCGCGTGTCGTGCAATAAAGCTGTGGTGTGCTGCACGCTCCTTCCTCCTCCCGGCGCCGGCAGAAGGCGGGCAGCGAGGGGCACGTCGGCGAGCCATTGCTGGTGAACGCCGCCAGAACCGTGCCAGGAGGGCGGCTGCCACAAGGATGTGATGCCACGGCACGCACCAGGACGATGCTGCGCYCCTGTGGTGCCGGCAGCGAGGGCGGGCTCCCGGCAGTGCCGCTAACACGGCTGTCTGTTGCAGGAGAAAGAAGAGGAGGCGCGCCTGGCCAGCATGCCGGCCTGGAGGAGGGACATCCTGCGCAAGAAGCTGGAGGAAGAGAGGTGAGCCAGGCTCGGGGGATGCCGCACTAGCCGGTTACTCCCGCGGCTCTGCTAACCCCACTCTTCCCTTTGCCTTCGCAGGGAGCAGAAACGGTGAGTGCCGCAAGCCCCTTCCCTGGGTGGGCGGGCACGGCGGCTCCCGCGGCTCTGGTGACCGCGGCGCCCTGTGCCCTCTGCCGCTAAGCAGAAAAGAGCAGGAGAAGCTGAAGCGGGAGGAGGAGGAGAAGGAGAAGGAGCAGTCGGAAAAGCTAAGGACTCTCGGGTACGATGAGACAAAGCTGGCGCCCTGGCAGCGACAGATCATCCTCAAGAAGGGGGACATAGCCAAGCACTAGCCACGCCACACCGCATCCTGGCTCTTCGCAGCAGGAGGAGGCTGGAAGGTCCTCCCATGGACCGCGGCATGCCTCGGCACCCTCCTCCTGCCGTGGATGGCCACATAACCCAACCCAGAGGAGCCCCCACCACCGCCCCAGGCACCCGTAGCCCCCTCCCCCCCATCCCACTGCCGCCAGCCCACCGCCACCCCGTGCTGCCCATGGCAAAGCGAGCTGCCGCGGCGTGGGACACGCGGCTCCAGGTGMACTGCCCGGCTCGGCCGCTGCGGCCGGGCTCGCCGCACTCCCTGCTGGCACCACTCGCCGTYGCAGCGCGCTCGCCCTCACTCCTGCCCCTCCAGAGCCGCTCAAGGCCAGCTCCCGGCTCACCTCTGCCCAGACCGCCCGYCTTTACAGCGATTAAAACGATAAACCCCGCCAGCAGTGCCCCGCGCCTTCCTGGGGCTGCCCATGCCATCCCCCACCCACAGCACGCTCACCCACATCACCACAATCACCCACATCACCCGCACCGCCTGCATCTCTGCCAGCACCCGCATTGCCTGTCGCCTGTGCTGGCCACATCACCAGTGGTGGCCCTGAGGCCAGCGGCGCTCTGGTGCCTGGCCGACACAGCCGTGTGAGGAAAGGCAGGGGCTGGCGGATGGAGAACGCACCACTTTATTGGGGCGGGGGAAGGAGCGCCCGGCAGCGGGCAGCCTTGAGAACTATCCCATGGGTTCGCGGTGGGCTCAGTGCCTGCTCGTCCCGCGAGTGGCTGGGCAGCTGACGTGCTGGGCATGGGGTCCTCCCCGGCCCTGAGAGCAGKGGGGCATAAATAGAGGGGACGGGCAGGTGGGAAGGGGGCATAAAACTGACATAAAATGTCTACACGGCATAAGTAACAATACTTAGGGGTACGGCTGGGATGAGGTGCCCAGTGAGATGTGGAGGTGCCGGGACCTCCCTGTGCTGACGCTGGGGGTCAGGGTCCCGCGGGCAGACTCTGGCGCAGTGCCTCGGCACAGCCAGCCAGCTCCATGCGCTCCAGGGCRGCAAAGACATGGTCCAGTGTGGCGCTGGTCTGCTGGCACCAGCGCTTCAGCATCTCGTACTGCTGGTCACGGATGTGGGTCACCTCCAGCTCTACCAGCTCAATCTCCGCCTCCCGCAGCTCCAGCATCCGCATGAACTCCTTCCAGCGCCGTACTGGCACCACATCGATGACGGCGTAGAGCTGGCTGCCCTGCAGCAGGGCACTGCGGGGCTCCGGDGGGGCAGAGGTCTCCCCCTCGTCACTGGGCTGCTCACTCAGCAGGGCCTGGTGTTTAGGGCTCTGCCCTGCCATGCCAGCGACACGCTCTATCCCCTGCGGGGAGCATGGCTGCGTCCAGCACAGGTTGTCCCACYTCCGGGCACTGAACTGGCACCACGGCGTAGCCACAGACCCGCCCATAGGGTTGGCTGCACATGCCGTGGGGAGGGGACCACCTGCCAGAGAATCATGCCAGAGCCTCTTCCTCTTGTGGTAGATGGCGAGGGCACCCAGGAAGAGGGGCCCGGTGAGTCCCAGCAGGATGTACTCCAGACCTGAGCCTGCAAGGAGGAGCAGGAGCATTGCCATCAGCTGTCTGGCGCAGTGACAGTGCTCCACCACCCCTGGCCCCATTGTCCCCATACCTTGGTCGCTGCTGCTGCTGCTGCTGCACACTTGCTGGCACTCTTTGCCACACGTGTCCGGCGTGCTCCTGCAACAAGATGGGACTCATGGGTGTCATGCTGTGCCATGCCACACGGCTGGCACACAGGGAGTGTCGATGCTTACGTGTGGCATGGCCGGCACTCGTCGCCMTCTCTGTAGAAGTCAGGCTTGCAGTTGCTGTCACAGAGTGTGTCCTGCTCCTCCGAGCCTGGGGAGAGGGTGCGCATGAGGCAGGGTGGCACAGCCAGAGGTGGCACAGCTGTCTGGTTGTGCCGTGGGGCAGCTGGCAGCACTCACAGGGTCGCTGGATGAGGCGTCCGGTGCAGGGCTGGCATTTCTGGCAAGAGAACTCGATGCAGTGCTTGTCAAGGCAGTCACGGAAGTGGCCAGGCTCACAGCCACAGGCGACGTTGCTGGTGGCCGAGCAGTTGCTCAGCACACTCTGGAAAGCTGCAGAAAGCGGGCGGTGAGCAGCGTGGCACAGAACAGCACAGCACAGCGCGGGGTGGTGCCAGCTCACCTTGTCGGTCACACTCGTAGCAAGCCTGGCACTTGCTGAGGGTGTTGGGCTGGGCGCGGAAGGTACCGGGCTCACAAGGGTGGCACTTGCGTTCCTCAGTACTCGTGCAGGGCTTGGACAGGAATGTCCCTGCAGGGACAGTGGGGTGACAGGGAGCACGGCCACCTACAGCAATGTACCATGGTGTGCTGTGCCATGGTGTGCTGTGCCATGGCGCACGGGCTGGGCAGAGCTCACCTGCGGGACACTGGCGACAGCACTGGTGAGCAGTCTCGACCCAGTTCATGCCGGCGGGGCAGGGCTGTCTGGTGACATGTCTCCGCAGGCGGAGCAGCGGCTGCACCAGGACCCGCTGCCTCCGCGGCACGGTGAGGTCYCGTGGCCACCCCGGGGGCTGCAGTTCGCTGGCCGCCAGCCACARCGCTGCCAAGATCACCTGCGAGCAGGGAGAGAGCAGGGCTGCAGGCAGCCGGGGTGCTCCAGGAGCCGTGCACCCCTGGGGGACGGCCCTCACACCAGCTCCTGCTGGACTACTGGAGCCAGAGCCATACCTGGAACTGTGYGGATACCACTGCCTGCACAGGGCAGAACGGCTGCAGCCGCGGGCCTCTGCCTCAGAGCTGCGTGGGTGCGCTGCCCCAGGGCCGGGAATGCCCCGCGGCAGTCCCTGTGCTCTGCTTTCCCCGCAGTACACGAGCAAGCAACTTCCTGCGGGCACTGTGGGGGCTACTGTGCCACAGCCTGTGCCCCGGGGGCTGCTGTCAGGTGCCCCGTGTGCTCTGCAAATGGTGCTTCCAGGCTGGCTGGGGAGCGACCGGGATGYTCGACCGCCTGTGCCAACAGGACCCCTGCTATGTCCCCACGGATGGGGACGAGCGTGTCAGGCACACGGAGCGCTGGCGGTGCCAGAGATCGTCAGCTCAGCGAGGTGTCGGCAGCCGGGCGCGCAGTGGTTAACACTGCCAGCTTTGACTTTCCTGGGGTTTATCTCCCTCACAGAGGAGGTGATTTCCTCCCCGAGAGGAAGCCGTGCCTGCTCATGCTCTCCCCGATGCTATCGCGCCTCGTTACGCGCGTCCCAAAGTAGGTCACTGTTCCCCCGCGGGGTGCCAGGTGCTGTCCGCAGGGCAGCCCCRCTCCCCTGGAAGCCCCGGTGGGGGCAGCGAGCGGTGCCCACGCTGACACCCCTTCCACAGCCCGGGCCGGGGGCTGACAGGACCGCTGCGCTGACGGTGTGGGCAGGGAGCCAGGGGATTCCTCGCTGGGGGCTGGATTTCCCAGCCGCGATGGGCCCGATTACGGCAGTTGAATCATTTTCTACTAAACCCGCCGCCACCGGCAGACTGGAAACCGCGCTGGGCCGCCCCGCACGCAGAGCGCTGCTGGCAGATCCGGGCGGCTGCCTCAGCCCCGGCTGCCAGCGGCACATCTGAGTCACCACTGAGGCACGACCGTCCCGCAGCGGGGCCCTGCCTGCTCTCCCCGCCTGCAGACGGGCAGCAGCCCCTGCCCAGCGCGGGGGACAGGTGCCCGGTGGACACGGGGCGGACCCGGGGCTGGCTGCGCGGWGGGGACAGCCACCGCCCCCTGTGCCGTCCAAGCGCCTCTCCCACCCGTGTGCCCAGCCCCGAAGGAGCCCCGCAGGCTGTCGGCACAGCCAGTCCCTGCCTGTAGCCCCATSACTGACCCCACGCTCCCCACGGCCGCATCCTGTCTGTGGCCGAGATCTTCACGGCCCCCGCGGTCATGGCACACCATGAACATTTCGGTGAGCAGAGCCCAGCCCCAGCTGTTAGCCAGAGGGGAAAGCGGTTTCGGCGCGCTTGGCACGGAGTTCACCCACCGTCCTCCGTCCCTCTCCCTGGCCGTTTTGGCCACAGCCGTGGGTCACCCCCACAAYTGTTGCCGGGGCTCCACGGGACCCCCAAACGCCCCCACACTCACCCAAGCCACCCCAGGGCAGCAACACTTCATCCTTGTGGCCGATGCGGCTGGGTCATGCCGGGGCGGTGCGGGGAGCCGGGCAGCAGGTGCGGTGGGGTGTCGGGGCAGCTCAGTCCCCGGGCAGGGTGCCCCGGCACCCCACGGCTGCCGTCAGCAGCACGGGACTCGTGGCGAGTGAGCGCTAGCGCTCCCCACACAGGCTTTTACGCCCAACCAGGAGGAGGAAATGCTTTTTTGGAAATGAGTCCAGGGGGTACGAAACCACATGACGGGAGTGCTARGCGCGGGAGGGATCTGCGCTGCCTCGCCGCGGCCACCGCCCTCCCGTGCCCGTTGGCACAGACCCACGGTGGCAGGGATGGCAAGAGGACGCAGGGTGTGTGGGGAGCAGGGCTGACCCTCATCCCAGGGCTCCATTCGCCCCACCCCGAGCTCCAGGAGGCTGGAATGGCCCCAGCTCCTCCTTTGTCTGTCCCGGCTGCTTTGTCTCCCTCAGCTGCGCCCTCCCCACCCCGGTGCCGCCCAGCCTTGGGTGCCGCTGAAGCCAAAGGAGAGGCGAGGCAGAGGTGAGCGTGCACCAGCTGGGTTTATTGCTCAGCTGGGACGTGGAGTGCAGCCTGGCATGGGGGGCAGCCGGGGCTCTGGCCACCGCCGTGTCCCACCGTGGCTCCTACACTCCGGCCTCAGGTGCTGCCATCCACCGATACCCCACAGGGCAAACTTGCCTCAGCCCTGCACCGTCCCCTCCTGCCACCAGCCCCGACCTCCTCCCTGCACTGTCCCCAGCACCGCGCCACCGCCATCGCGTCCCTCTCAGCACCTTCCCCACTCACCACTGCCGACATCATCATCCCTTCCTCGTCTGCAGGAGCTGACCCACAGCCTCCCACAGCCCCCGACACCCCCAGGGCCCCCGCCTGACAACTCTCATGTCTGCGGATAGGGGTCCAGCACAAGCCATGTGCCATGTCCAGCCCTACACCGCCATGCCCAGGACACGTCCTGGCCAAGGGGACTGGTCTGCGTCCCCATCCATGTCCCCGCCAGCGTGGCATCCCAGTGCCCGCTCTGCCCGACCCCGGCATTACGCTACGGTTAGAAGCAGGAGAAGCTCCTTGGTGCATCCATGCATCCGTCCTTTCCACGCCAGCGGCTCTCAGACCTCCCTGCAAGACACAGCGTGGGGAGAGATRCCCTCAGCACTGGSACYCGGCCCCTGRGAAGCYCCTGGAAGGGCKGGGRGATCCCCCAGGAGCAGGCAGCGTGTGCTTACGAGGCCGTCAGCGTGGAGTTGAGCAGCAGCGTGGTCCGGATCCGGTACAGCTGCGCCAGCGTCAGCTTGCGGTGCTGTGCCGACTGTGGGTCCGACAGGGTCCGGTGGGCAGGAGTTGGCGGGTCACGCCTGAGCTCCCCCGGGAGRGATGCCGGACTCTCCACTGTCTCCTCTGGCTCAGAGAGCTCTGACGTGGAGCTGCCACTGCTGCCGGCGGCAGCCAGGGGTGCGGGGCCTTGGCCAGTCCGGGGGGAGCCAGCACAGAGGTCAGAGAGGCTGCGGCTTTGGCTTAGGCGGCCTGGGGAAGTGGGGGACAGGAGTTGGGGCAAGCTGGCCTCCGACTTGGACTTCAGCACCCTGGCCGGGCAGGGCAGGAGCTGCACGGGGGTCCGGCGGCGCAGCCGGGGCGAGGCGGGCCGGGGAGCCGGAGGGGCCCGGGAGGGCTCCTGGCCCTCCTTGGCCGTCCCCTCTGGCTGCTGGCCGAAGTCCCGCAGGGAGGCAGGTGAGAGCGTGCCATAGGCGCTGTCGATGGAGGACGAGCGGCAGCCGCTGCCTGGAGAGGCCGCGCCGTGGGGCAGGGGCACAGGCAGCGCCCCTGCGGGCAGCTCCTGGGTGGGGGTCTCGGCGGAGGTGGGGGTCTCGGCGGAGGTGCCCGTGCCGGTGGAGGTGCTGGTGCTGACGGAGGAGCCGTCCGAGGTTGAGCTGAAGGGTCCTGCGTCCCAGTCTGGGGAGGAGAGCTCGTCGCCACCATCCGCCGCCACCATGGCGAGCGTCTCGGTGGAGCCGTCCGAGGGGCTGTGGAGGCAAGAAGGTGAGGAGGGGGCTTTGCCAGGCCGAGGGTGTGCAGGGCCCCCTTTCCCGCTCCCTACCACTGCTGTGAGTCCGGGCTGGCGCTGCTGTGGCGTAGGATGGTAGGTGAACTGGCAACTGAGGTGCCGCTCTCACCGTCCTCYTCCTCCTCCTCATCCTCCTCCTCTTCTTCCTCCTCCTCCACGTGACGGCGCTGCCGCAGCCGCTGCAGCAGGTTCTGGGAAGGAGGGAGCACCAGTGAGGGATGGGRTGTGCACGGGCCACCCACGGGACCCCAGCCAGCCGTGTACCCTCACCTGGGCATTGCGCACTGCCTCCACCCAGCTGCGGCACAGCTGCCCGCTGCTCTGGAAGGTGTAGGCAGCCACGGCGCTCCCCAGCTCGTTCAGGTAGATGAGGAGGAAGGAGCCTGTGGGSAGGGACTGTCAGCAGTGTCCAGGGACACCCCTGCAGTCCCTCTTGCCCCCAGCGCTGCTCACCCGGGTCCCTGAGCTCCCGGCACACAACTCTGTCCACCAGCAAGGGCTGCCGGATCACCTTGGTGCGCTCRGCCTTCTTGACGGGCTTGGTGATGAGGAAGAGGTCGGTGAAGAGGAAGCAGTAGACATCCATCTGGGGGTGAGAGTGGGCCATGGGMGTCGGTCAGCGCAGTGAGCGAGGGAGTGTGGGCCGGGGCAGGGGCTGGGGCCATCCCCTGCAGTGCTCACCTTGCTGTCTTTACCTTCCCGCATCCGCAGGCTGCCCTCGAGAAGGAGCTGCCGGGTGTCCTCCGGGGACGTGCCAGGGATGGGCGCCGTCAGGTCCAGCCGCAGGAACTCCTTAAGCAGCTGYCGGGAGCCCGCGGTGTCAGCATGGGGTGCAGGGGGTAACACGGCACAGGTGGCGTGGGGTGGCTCGCCATGAAGTGACATAGGGTGGCACAGCAGGGCAGCATAGTAGCATGGCAGAGGGTGGCATTGAGTGGCATAGCATGGCATAGCATGGCAGGAGATGGCAGGAGATGGCAGGAGATGGCAGGAGATGGCAGTTAGGCCGTGTCCAGCCTACCTTGTCCACCTCGTCCGTGCTGCCCTCCACCACCTCGTAGGCATCGATGCGGCTGAGGATGGCATCCAGGCGCTGCCGCTCCTGCCGCTGCCGCATCCGCGAGTTGACGTCGTTGATGAAGCGCTCCACAGAGGTGATCTGTGCCAGGGGTGGCAGCGGTGGGTTTGAGGGGCCGGGGGTGACCGACCCAGCTGTCCCCCATGCCCGAGCTCTTACCATGGTGGTGATGGCATCACGGGCGCGTGGGTCGTCCGTCTTCTTCAGGATGGAYTTGAGGAGCAGCGGGTACTTGGTGAGGCGCTGGTGAGGCTTCACCAGCATGTCGCTGAGCTTCAGGCGGCTGCACTGCTCCTGCTTCTCGGCCCACTGTGGCACGCAGGCGTTAGCACCGGCACTGGCACCGGCACTGGCACCACCCCAGCCCCTGCTCCCCCCTTACCGTCACGTAGGTGCGGAAGAGCTCGCTGTCCCGCAGCAGCGCCCGCATGTACTCCATGCAGCCCTCCTCCTCCATGCAGTACCGCACRTAGGGCTTGAACAGGGACCCGAACTGGGGGACACCAGGGGGTCACCGTGCGGCACACGGCATGGCACGGATCCCCACCGTGGCATGGCGTCCCCACTCACCATCTTGAAGCCATCAAAGAAGTCAACGGGGTCGAGCAATGCCCCGGTCCGTCGCGCCTTGGCCAGCACTGGGGCCATGACGCTGCGCCASAGCTTGCAGTGCAGCCGGATGATCTCGCCGATGTTGCTGAAAAGCCGCTCGGCATCCACCTGCAGGGGTGAGGGGAGTGGTGCTGGGCAATGGCACCTCCACCCCGCGGCATGGCAAGGCTGAGGAGCCATCCCAAAAACACCCTGTCCCCTACAGCCCCCTGCATTCACCTCACTGAGCAGCCCCGACTCCTGCAGATTCACCAGGCAGGAGAGGAAGAGCTGTGGGGAGAGAGTGGGGAGCAGGTGAGCTGCAGCCACGGCCCCCAGCCCCAGTTGGGGGGTTGCAGCGGTGCAGCAGCTCCCAACACTCACATCGGTGATGACTTTGAGGTTCCGGATGTAGGTGGCCTCGGTGTGCAGCAGCTCCCAGATGGCTTCCTGCTGGTGGCACTGCCGGCGCGACAGGGCCTGCCAGGCTCAGTGTCAGCAGCGTGCTGGGGTTTGGCAGAGCCCCTGCGGCTCCCCAGACCCTGTCCTTACCTCTGTTCCTTTGATGATCTGCTGCCAGCTGTCCTCCAGCGTCAGCCCAGCCTCGTCCCCGTCCTCCTCCCAGGAATCGCGGTCAAAGCGGAGCTGGGGCGGCAGCTTGGGCAGCCCGAAGGTGCTGTAGGCGTGCAGCCTGTTCACCAGCTGCTCCAGCTTCTCAGTCTCCTGGACAAAAGTGGGGGACAGAGTGGCTGGGCCGGGGCCAATTGGGCATTTGCCACGGACCGCCTCGTCCCGCCTGTGGAACTAGGGTCTTGAGCCCCAGAGGGACCCATCCCAGCTCCCCAGCATAGCCCAGGCAGTTCCCACACCCCCTCCCCATGCCTGCATCCCACCTACCCGCCCGAAGGAGCCCGTGCTAGTGCCGGAGCCAAACAAGCCGCTGAAGCGGCTGGCGGCGCGGTTCTTCCAGGTGTCAGTGCCATTGGCGGGCAGGGAGCCGCTTCCATGCAGGGCTGGCTCAGGGCYGGGGATGCTGGTGTCCCCCAGGAACTCCGTTATGTTCTTCCTTCGCCGTCCCGGAGCCTGCAGCGGGGACAAGCGGTGTCCCCGGGGTCAGTGACCGGGATGGGGACAGCAGCATGGCTGGCCTCGAGCACTGTGGGACAGACACCCAGATGGCAGCCCCGGGCAGCGGGGTCCCCTGGGGGCAGCGGGGTCCCCTGGCCGTGCTCCCCTGCCCGCACTGACCTGCCTACCTGCATCCCGGGGGTGCAGGGCCCCGGGGCTGCAGGACCCCGGGCGCTGCCTGGCCAAGCCCGGCCGGCCATGGACAAGCGGCCCCAGCAGCTCGGGGGGCTCAGGGCATCCCGAGGGTCGCAGCACCCGGCCGAGCCGCCCGTCCAGCCGCGCTCCCGGCTCAGAGCGCAGAGCCGGGGCCGAGCAGGCTGTGGCCGGGCTCCTCAGAAACAAAAGGAGGTGGGGCCAGCGCCGAAAAACTAATTTCCCTCTTCGGCTGATAAGCTAGCAGAGTTGAACAATTCACCGGCGGAGATCAAAGCCCCCCGGCTGGCCGCGAGTGCTGGGTCACGG